ATATCTATCGTGAAGCAATGTGTAGTGATGGACAAGATTCACGAGAAGCTGAACGTCTCCTAAGCGGCTAGCGACTGTCGGTTTGGCTTCCGAGTCATGATCTTGGTAATAGCATGCCGAATCGTGACTCCGGCCTTCTCGATTTCCTTCTTGGACAAACCGGAAGTAATGCAGACCTTGAGAGCAGGCTTGATATCTATGTCCTTAGTTCCGATACTTCCGATCATCGGCATGCTCTTCAGCCGCGTAACGAGCACCCCGTTGGCGAGTGTCTATATGTTTGTAAGCAAAGGGAAAACTTCAAAAGCTAGATAGTATTATCACCGGGGAACTTACTTCGTCAGTGATCTCTAGCAATAGTCGCTCTTGGTCTTCATTGGTCAGCCGCCTTGATTGAACGACCTCAGGCTTGAACACTAGTAGCATCACCGGGTTCTCCGGGTCGCTCGTGCACTGAACCCAATCGCTTCGCGGATCAAGTTGCGCCCTCATAGCTCGGATGTTCTCCCGGCATTGGAGGAGGATATCGGGATTACACTGTAGAACGTTCAACGTCTCGCTAGCTGTGACAGCGGCCATAGCGGGTAGAGCTGCCGAGTAGGTGTACGACGCGGCATTGATGCGCTGGTGTTGCACGACGTCCTTCGAACCAGCGCAGAATCCACCCGCGGCACAGAGGGGTCCCGCTAGAGATCCAATGATCATATCTACAGCCTCCGAGTCCACATTCTGTGCCTCCGTAAGACCCCTTCCGTTGCGACCAAGTACACCAAATGACCACGTTTCGTCCAGGGCTATGCGGAACTTATATTTCTCCTTTAATTCAACCTGGATTTAATCTTCCGTTAGCCAAACAAATGCAAGACGAACTAATTCTGTTTCCTATGGGGTGCTTACAAGCTTGGGCAAGTTGGAGCAATCGCCGACCATCTCGAAGAGACCCTCTGTCACGATGAATCGCCTGGTCAAGATCTTCCTCTTGGCCTGCTCCTCGGCTACTTTCTTCATGACTCGTTCCAGATCCTCCATATCGTTGTGCTCGTACCATTTGATGTTGCTTCGGGAAGCTTCCAGTCCTTTGCGAATCGAGTAGTTGACCATTTTATCAGCCACGATGACGTCGCCTCGCTTGCAGAAAGTGGGAATAACGCTCGAAATGGTCGAGAAGGCGTGAGAATAGACGATGCTGCTCTGTGTACCAAGGAAACTGGCGATATCTTGCTCGGTATGCATATGAACATCCTGGGTACCGTAGAACTGCGGCGGACCGCAAGGGCCGACTCCATATGTGCGCAAAGTCTGGATCGCCTTCTCCTTAATGGACTCGCTCGCGTTTAAGTTATAAAAGTTATAGGAAGCCAAGTTCGTTACAGTCTTGCCGCTAGACAGCTTCACCTTCGGACCAGTCGGTCTACACCCACGCGGTCAGCAATTGCTTTCTAGGACAGTTATGAGACGGATTCTTACCCGACAATCACGGGCTGTCTCTCGGCTTCGGCCTCCTCGAAGGAGGTCTGGGGGGCGACGAGTGGCTCGGGCTCCCACTCCCTGACAAGCTCATCGATCTCATCTTCGCGAAGTTTCACGTAATTGGGGTCGTGGGTGGGATAGGAAGGCGATAGAAGGTATCGAACGAAGAATATGACAAGCACAAGTTCTATGGCAGACCGGATTGGGTCATTCTGATAGCTCGACTGGATATACCGTATGAGGACGGCACTTCCGGGAACCTTCTGAAAGGTGTGGGATATTTCGTGAAGCGAAGCCTGCAAGTAGGCTTGGGCCTCGTGAAGATCCATCTTTTATCGATTCAGTTTTCCGGCCGTCGAATAAGTAGCATTGGAGATTTCGCTATGGAATGTACGGCAGTCTAATCGAGGGTTCGTAGGAAATTGGTAAAGAATTTGGGCGTGAGACGGGATACGGATATACATGTAGCATTGTAGGGGGAAAAGGTTCGCTAATGATTCTAAATAGGAAGAGGGTCCAATTCCTTCTCAATCAACCCATGTCCCCGGCGGCACGGTTCCACGTTACAGGGGTAAGTTTTGAACTTACCTGTGATTTAGCGTCGCCTGGTCGCGTCAAACTGAGGCCGCCGTAGCCCCACTCACTAATCTTACCTACATATTACATTGGATTGTTCCAAGTTGTCTTTAATTGCATATCTCAGTGTTACTATGTACTGTATCTATAGTATGTACTACATGTACATGTAGGCGTGGACATAACCAATTGATCTCTATCGAATCCAAAGTTCATACATCGTCTTACACATAAACAAGCATAATATCAATCAACGATATCCCTTGGGTTTTCAATTACTACCTCCTAGTATGTAATCCTCATTCTTATATTGGTGTTTACATAGGTTGTATATGAAACAGAGCATTTGAGTTCTAGGTAGGTAGAGACTTATTCATGATGCTTCAAGAGCTCTGGTAAACGCCGGGCTTTCGTTACCTTCTACTACCTTAGAGATCGGGGTTAGATACGCCTTCTCGTCGTTGGACTCGTCCCCAAGTTGTCGAACATATGATTCAGCTACCTTGATCCACATGGCTTTCTCTGTCCTGCTTGCTTCTGAACCTTGCCAAACCCATACCGTGGCCCCGGTATCCAGGAGGAAGACATCGTTGCTGTCCAAATCGGAGCCGTCTATTGCGCTACCTTCTTTCACCAAGTCGAACTTCAGTTGGCCCGAGGCATCCGACAGACGGAAAAGCCTGCGAGGGTGACCACCAGTGGCATCTTGACTCTTGGAAGAGACAATCGGTCGCGGGGCTTTGAGTGGTCCTTCGGCGTCCTCACCACCCAGCATAGCGACGACGGTCCGCGATCTTGACTCTGTTTGTGACAATACCTCAACGTCGAGGTGTTTCGCAATTGTCATGTCATGGACGACCTGGGCAGCCTTCGCTTTCTCCATGGGACTACAGTTTTTGCCTTGCCAGACCCAGATCTTGTCGTTCCGCTCCAATACAAAGACGTCATTCTCGTCGAGACTCTGCCATGTGGGTTCAACCTCGTAGGCCATAATCGAGTCAGCCCGTTTTGCGGATGGGTGTTTGAAGATCCTGAGCAACATGAGGGTCTCTTTCGGCTCTTCTTCGGTTTCGACGTGCGTGAAGCCAGAGCGCACGCCGCCGGAGAGAATCCTGATGCGAGAGAATAGAGCGACGAAATCATCTGATGGCTCCTTTTGGAGCTCACGGTGCTGTGTAGCGACGCCATGCAGGAACTCGTCCAGCTCGACCGTCTTGTATGCGGCCGTGCCCGCCTCGTCTTGTGAGGTCTTGCTTCCAAGCCAGAAGAAGATGTCATGAGCTAACCTTTCCTCTCCATCCTTGCTCCCCACCTTGTACGAGTGCAAAACGATGTAGCTGTCTCCCTCATGGAAATCGCCGTACTGGTCCTTTGGCCATGAAACCACCTCGAAATCCTCTATTCGCCAAATGTACAGGCCGGGAGACTGTCCGACATCCTGCCATGCAGGCTCGGTAGCTGCAGAATTGTATTTGACTTTGTGGTCAAGCTCCGTTCCAATATTCTCAACATTACTATCTCGCCAGTCATATTCCTTGAGGTGTACTAAACCCTCGTGCGGCGCCATCTTGATACGGCAGTTGTGAATGTCGTGAGTTATCAAGCTTCTTATATATTCTGACGTGAATACGAAAAGTTGCAAAGCGTACGAGGTAATCGGAAAGTATTGTGTATGAAATAGTAGGCGTATGTGAAATATATTGTGACAAATACACGTAAGGGGTGCTCACGAAGGTAAACTAGCCACTCCGGAAGCTCTCAGGAGGATGCTGTTGACGTAATAAGCTGACAATGGTTTGTTCCTTTAAAAAGCAAGCAAGGCGGGGGAAGCTGAAACAGCTTCAACACCGCCGCTAGACATTCCGGTACGACATCATCTTCCGCATTTTAGGCAATGCGGGGAATAGATTCTGGAGTTGAATTGGCACATTGATAACTTTAATGTAGTTACCTATATGTACGCATTGAGAATTAAGGTGTGTTGTTGCTTTTGCTCTCCTGTGGAAATTCTCGATCGTGATGACCATGAGGTGATATTGTATTGTGCACGACGTTCAATGTTAGTACATCCATAGATGTAATAGTCAAATACGGGTAGATGGGTTAGATTAGGTACCTGGCAGCCTGGTAGAGTAGGTAGTAGCTAAGCATTCGTTGTGGAGAATTCATGAAGACCTTTATCAGACTCATATCAAATCTTTTCCGGCATCATCAATACACAAACCATCCGACTCATAATAACAGCCAACATATATGGACCATTAAAGCTATATATTCACAAATCAATTCAAATAACCCGGAAAATCGAGGCCTTAAGAAGAAGAGTAGAAATGTCGAATAAGGAGACCACATCCGAGGAATTCGCCTCCTACTACCTCCAGCAAAGCACCAAGGAGTTCGCAGAAGACTTAGACAAAATTCGCAGCGCTGACGATTTCAAAGGCGACGCGGTAGCCATGCTCGTCAAGTCCTTGCGCCAGGGAACATCGCTTTTTTCAGCTGCCGACCAGAAAAGGGTACTTAAGGCACGGGATTCTCAAGATTTGGAGAAGAAATAAGGGATAATGAATGGATGAGGTTTACGAAACGCCTAGCATATCAGTCGTGCGGTCATAAGAGGCTCCTTACATGTAAAACCGCCGGGTTGGTTATCAGGATATCGTCGCCTCAGAATGGTCAAGAGCATTTAGAGAGAAAAGTCGTCGTTTCATCATAAAATTGAGGTCTTAAGGCAAACCCTCGGCAGAGCAAATTCAAAACGGAAGACAGACTATAGGTTCAGTATCAAACCTTTTCACATACTACTATGTAGGGTGTCGATAAATTGGCTCAACTATTAAGTGGTAATGTTATCAAAAATATAGGGGGTAATTGTGGACGAACTATACAGTATTACTATTGTAATAATTCCACAATGAGCGAGATTGGCAAAAGTTGCAAAAAAGATGTCGTTGCGACACGAGTAGGGTTCGAACCTACGCGACCGAAGTCATGAGATTTCGTTCATCAAGGAATTCAAGTCTCACCCATTAACCACTCTGGCATCGTGCCTTGACCTGTTTAGTTGATCGTTTGGATCGTTAATGCTTATTATAACGCATTAGCAAAAGTCCGGAGTATTACCCTCCAATCATGGAGAGGACCAGAGCCATAAAACTGGGTAATTGCTAATTAGTAATTACCGGCTCACTGAGTCTCTCTCGTCAAAAGTTTGCCACACAGTCTACATAGTACCTAGCTAACATTGAATATAAGTACATTGATATGTACATGTAGTTATTAAGTACGGGGGCGATATTCTCGCGCTGGCTTTGTAAATGAAGATGATATTCTATTTAGCATTTAATACGCTGTAGGCCAAGTTTTTCTTTCGGGAGTTTCAGGTCTTTACAGTAGCTATTTCTTTATAGCAATGCTCCGTCATATCCTAACGGATATAACTAAGGCAAAGTTTAGTAACGGCTGATGGTTAGCAGTGGAAATTATTGCACACCCTTCGCCATCCGATTTTCTATTCACATGCCCTTGCAATAACCGCACAAGTGTCTTCAGGGACGGGAGGTACATATGTATTGATGGTAATGCCATTTCAATGTTACCATATCGGCTACTTAAGCTAAAGAGTAGATCCCTCCGGTATATGTGGATAGCGTAGAGCCAGTATAGCAGATTCCGTATCTTAGACATTTAAACGCCTTGCTAGACACCGTTGAGAAAGTGACAAGTGGAGCAATTGTGAGTTGAGTGTGTTTTGAATACGCCCAGAAAACTCCTCGATTTCTTGTATTGGGAGAACCCAGATTCACGCCATTGGCTCCTTACAGAAAAAACTCATAAGCATCATTACGCTGTGAAATGAAATGGCGTATGATTGGAACACCAGAAAGCCGCCCTCTCTACTGCCGAAGTAGAAATAGAGAATAAATCCACCCACAGATATCACTGCAAGGTATAGACGTTGGCGGTATAGCCCAGATACCGTTGTCATAGCCCAGGCATCATAAAATCTGCTCGGACAATAAGGATTTCAAACTTTGTGGCCATGATCCTGATCCTGAACCTCTAGCGCCGGATGTCAAGGCTCGCCCGGGCGGACTCGATGGATGGGCGAACGGAACTGCTGGAGCTTCTCCGCCTTCTCGCTCGTTGCTCGCTCGGGTCTGAGGGGTTGAGCCCAGTCGACTTGGCGAAGAGGTTAAGGATATCGGTCAAGGTAACAACACCGATTAGACGACCTGAAAGGTGCGTCCCGGGAAGGGTGGAAGCCGGAGGGACGGAAGGGAAGTGACCGCCGGTAAGGGAGTTTTGTGAGGAAGATGGAGTGGGGACGAGGACGGTAGGGCCCAGCGACGGGGTCCCGGGAGCTGAAGGAGAAGGAGAAGCGGACTCAACTACCCACATTCTGTGTGAATGGGTAGCTACTAGCTTGGCCACGGTGTGTGCCAGTGTCGAGTATGGGTTAACGTAGAAGACTGGGAACGAATCCTTGCCCTTCTCGACTCCCTCTTCGGTTAAGATGACAGATATAAAGTGCATGCAAGAGTTCTGCAACAACGGAAGGCTTGTGGCATTAGTAAGGAGTCTGACATCCGTCGTGGAAATGTTGCCGACAACATTCAACCCATTGTCAACGACGGCTACGGATGAGAGACCCTCCTGGTTCATAAGATCGAGAGCCTCTGTTAGAGGGCTATCCGCACTGTGAGGTCGTTAGCGAAGCAAGCTTTATGAACTACTGGTGCACATACTTGACAGCTATGATCTGCTGCGAACCCACGCCGAGATCGCGCAACAGCCGTGGATAAAGCTCATCGATGGCGCGGAAGTTGATGCCCTCATTCCAAAAGAATTCTAAAAGTTTCAGCTGACTTAGGATGCCAACGACTTGGGAGTTGTGATTCGTAACGAGCACTCGATGTACGCCGCTACCAAAGACCTCAATTGCCTTGGGTAGGTCTTCATCACCCTGTAAGGTGACGAGGGACTCTTTCCGCAATATCGGCTGGATGTCGCGGAGCGGTATGCTGATCCGGGCCTGGGCCTTCTTTGCTATTGCATCGTATAACTGGACTAGGTCCTCGCCCGGATTCGCCAATCCGACCACAACTAGGATATATGCGTTGAGGTCATTATAATCGAAGGTCGAGATCGGAACGGAGCTACTGGGATCCTCTCGGACGATGACAACGTTGCTAGATGTGTTTTTGAGGAGAGCCTGGACACATAGTTAGCGACGAGTTGCATGAACTCGGATCGTCAGATCGAAGGGAGCAGTACCATTGTGGCATCCTCCACGGTCGTATCCATCTGCACCCAAGTAACGTCATCTTTTGACACGAGCTCTCCGATTGCAACATCGCGCCAATCCCTGCCGGCGAAGCGAGGATTGTGTTGTCGCGGAGCTGGTGGGTGGTTGAGTAGTTCTTGGATGGCGGCTTGGGTGAAGGATGGGTGTCGCTGGTTTCGCGGCGAGGGCGGCAGGCCTCTCAAGTTCTCTGCAAAGCTTGAGCGGTGGCTATGAGCGATAACATGGCCGGACTTGTGTAGGCTCGAAGCAGAGCCGGTTCGTTGAGGGGGCGGCGGTGAGATACTCGCTTCCTTTGAATCTCTGCCTCTGCTGGGATAAGGGGCGTTAGGATCCATGGTAGAAACGGAAGCGTAATTGAATATGTCGATGGCCTGGAGGTATGTCCTCGTGCTGTTGTGTAGTGTGGTGTTTTGCTTTAATGTTAAGGGATCTGGACCTGGACGGTAGCTTAGAAGCTATACTAAAGCTATGCAGAGCCAGCCCGGATACCCTAAGTACATATGTAGGTACGTAGGTAGGTAGGCAGTCCGGCGTTGGCTAGTTGTTCATGAAGTTTGCGTAGGGTTATGGAGAAGAGAAGTTTCTCGGGAAAAAAGCAAAGACCATTATCGTCGTTGTATTAGTTGATGGCGCAAAGCCAAGGTATGGTACGGGTGCTGAGGGGCGATATCATACACTACCTAGACAGTATACATGAAGCCCTATAAGTTGTAAGGATCACTCTTCTCCTGCGTTGGACAATTATCTCCAGGGCTCCAGCTAATAAAACATTCCCAATTGTGGACAGTGCAACCGCCCCAGTAACCCCTCCTTCACCTTTCTACACCGTCACCCAGCGGTCATCTATGTCGATCCCCAGCTGGATTAACTCTAAATATGAAGAAAGCCACAGTTGGAGGGGTTGAGTGGGTCATATACATAATTACTATGTATAGTGCCACTTTCCAAGTACTTAATCTGTCAATCCACCTGCTGACTGTGGGAACCTCGTCTTGTGTACCTGCATACGTATGCAATTATACTTGATGATTATCATGAGCTTAAAACCGGTCCACGGATATGTAAGAATATTAAGATGCATTATTGTATGCCTTATACGTCTTGACAACCGGGGGATGGGAGAGTATACGCCGCAGTATACGCCGTGACCAAAGCAATCTTTTAAACATAATAAGAGTTGGGTTTTTATTTGATACTTACTGACTACTATGTATATAAGCACAACCTTAGTGGACCTATATGAGGGCTTTAAACCGTGGCAGAGCGGTTCCAGAGCGATTTCTTATTTTGAAACAGTTCCTTCCTGAAATTTGGCTCCGGAATGAAATTTCTAGGTGAAATGGTTTCAAAATAGGTTAAACCGTTCTAAGCGCTCCAAAGCGCTAGGCTTAATTGGGAAAAAATAAATTTCGTATTATATTATTTATTTTATTTATTTATTTATTTATTTTTTTTATTTTTTTTTACATTTTACGAGATTTGAATCATTGTTTTTATGTAATTAAATTTGTTACGAAATTATAAATTATAATTTTACCGTTATATTATTAGATAATTTTATATTTTTACGTTATTAAGTTTTCTTATAATATGATACTTATTTTAAAGTGGCAGGGCTAATTTTGATTGGCTTAATTTAAGTTGAAGCGTTATAATAGCTTTAAAACGTTGAAACGTTAAAATGCTGGCGTATTATATAACTTAAGAACGTTAGAATCATAGAACGTTTGAAACGAATATTCAAATAGAACGCTTGGTTTTTAAGCTTTTATAAAGAACCGTTCCAGGCTTTGGAATCGTTCCAAGAATCAAGGAACCGTAGCATCACGAATGAATCGTTGCGGAACAGCCCTGCCACGGTTTAGAGCCCTCATATAGGTCCACTAAGGAAGGCATGTCCATAACATTTCACGTATGTAAGTACATATGCATGTAATTATGAAGAGTGACGTCGTTCTTTATGTTTAATCAGGAGTTAATCATGTGAGATATTTGTAAATCCATTCGTTCCGCGTATTTGATGCTTATCGGCTGCCCATGTTTGGGGGCTTGTAAGCCCATAGCTGTCCAACGGCTTGTAAACTTTATCATGTCGACTAATAAGAAGTGAGCAACTACAATAATGCAATACGTGGCATCGTGAATAAGTAGTAGCTATTCGCGATATATCATTCTGCCACCAATCAATCAGATCTGTAATACATGCCTAATACTTCGTATATATATGCCATACAACGCATTCCTGAATGTTGACATTCCCGTCCCGTCAGACGGGGTGCGCTATCGATACAATACCAGGTAATAAATATTATACATAGTAGAAAGTGCTAATTTGATAAGTGCATGATTCCCGCCTTACCTAGGTACAGTGGGTGGCAGAAAGAATAGACCCGATTCAAGTATGGCCCCACCTTTTGTTAAGTTCATATGTAGATTAAATACATAGTTATACTGGATAAGTAAAATGCGTTAACAAATAAAAATACATTTAGCTTTAAATATCGAGGGATGCATTTAATGAAAAATGGGGTTATACTTAAATTAGGTTTATTCTTTTTGCCACTTACTGTACATTAAAATTGGGCCATACTTATTATGTAGTGCCTGATGCGAACTTAATAAGGTGAGCTATACTATATCAAGTAATTAGTGACTTCCAAGTTCTACTTAGAGTTAGCTCTACTTCTCTAGCAGTTATTGTGGGTTAGTTTAGTACGAAAACGAATAGGCACAGACCATTCCA